GAGTGATCAGGGATGCAGGGGAGTTGGATAGAGGGCAGGGGCCAAGCCACACCTGGCTGTGTGGGGAAGAAGTTTCTCCCAGCCTTCCCGCCATCCCGGTACTCGATGCAGTCCTTGGGCCAAAATCTTTGCCCAGTTCTGGGTTAAGGGAGAGCCTCTCGCTTACCCTGTTCCCAACCCCCGTAGCCACCCAGCTGTCTGCTGTGATTCCAAATGTGCTCCTGCCATGGTTGGCCCTTTTCTTTAGATGGAGAGATTTGCTAGAATGGGGGTGGGGGAAGTGAGTGTGCTGGAAATCTGGGAGAGTTAATTGGCTCGCGTTAATTCCTGGCGTTCCCAAGCCCTGAAAGAGAGCGAGACTGCATCTGTGTTGGGAGGCTGGGTCTGGGATGCGACAGCAGCCGGGAGACCACGCAGAATGTTGCTGTTGCTGACAGATGATCTGTTAAGGTTTTGGATGCGGGCATTGCAACCCAAGTGTGCTGGTTGCCATAGTGACCGTGATGCATTCGCTCCCAGAGACGGTGTCTGATCCCATCGGTCTGGAACGAGATCAGATCGCTGTTTGTTTGTGCTGATATCACAGGGCAGCCTGCAGAGGGAATGAGCTGCCAGCAGCACAGCGGGGTCCTGCCTGCTTTGAGGGTCCTAACAGAGTGGAGGTGTGGGGCGGACCCCCCCGATGTAACATTCGGTGAAATGGGAGCCAGCGGCTGAGAGGCCCTTTAAAATTCCATCTGTGCTGCAGGGTGAGTGACTTTAAATGGGAGGTGAAGCTCATTCGGGGAGACTCCAGGCCAGTCCTGAAAGTTTGGCAACTCCACTTGTGGGCAGAGAGGATGTTCTTACAGGCCCCCACCTGTCCTCAGCACAGCCACTGCCCTTCCGATCAGCCTCAGAGACAGTTGACAAGGTCTAAAGCAGTCAGGGCATGTCAATCCTATCTTCCAGGGTTTGATTTAGCAGGTCTGGGATGGACCTGCTAAGTCAAACTCAGAGAGCATCCCCCTCAGCACCAATACTCCTACTTCTTGCGAGGAGTAAGGGAAGTCGCCAGGAGTGCTTGCTCCCGTCAGCCTCCCGCTGTTTGGACAGGGCAGAAAGGCAACGTAAGATACATCGACTCCAGCTACGTAATTTATATAGCTGGAGTTGCATATCTACTACAATCTTCCGCTATAGCATAGACCGGGCCTCAGAGACATGGCACGTGAAGGATCTGACTTCAGCCCTTTCCCCCAGCCCGCTAGGAGGTGTGATAGATGGAGAAGCTAAGGTAAGTCAGTCCCAGACAGCTGCTACAGTCCCATCCCCTGCCAGGGGACTCCCGTGTTGGGTCAGAGTGAACTAGGAAAGGAACCCAATCAATGGCTTTGCCTGGCCGTGCCTTGTGGCCAGCAGGAGGCAGTTACCGAGAGCTGCTGAGCCATCGATTTATTTCCTCGTTCTTGTGCAGCTACATTTTCTCTGCTACTGCGCAAAGGAAAAGAAAGAGGAAAAATAGCTTCTCTCCCAGCTGGAGGGGGTGTGAAGTGGGCACAGCCCTCTCTTGTGGAAGGCTGGCTGTTCTGGGTCAGTGGAATTCTGACTTCTCGTTACGGTGAAGGGGTTCACTGAGAGGGCTATCCCCTCCTGCCAGGGCGCCTCATCGCTCCATGGCTTTCATGGATCAGGCTGCAGCTGGACCGTAACAAAGCAAAGTACCTGCTCAGGGCTAGAGGGGTAGGGAGGCTGCACGTGAGGACTGGCAGAGCGGGGTGGGCAAATAGGGGGCTGTAGGTTACCACTGAGAGGCATCTGCTGATCTCTGTGGGTGGGGAACCCGGACCTAGAATAGCGGCAGGCCGTCCAGGATGGAGGGTCATCGGCAGAACTATGCAAGGAATCTGCCTTCACTGGGTTTGACTCAGTGCACTGCTGTGATCCCATCAGTTTCCCTTCCCCTAAAACTCTCCCCAAACCATTATTGTAACCCCCTTCCTGCATCTGCTCTGTATCTAACCACCATGCATGCTAAGTGGGCGCCTCCTAAGCTAGGCTCTGCCTGCATTGCTGAGCGAGGGAGGGAAGCCACAGCAGCCAGCGGGGTGGCTTGTAAGCGCTGGGAATTAAGTGTTGCTCCTGTACTCTGCATGTGTTCGTTTAGCCAGCCAGCCAAATGATGAACTTCGCACTTTGTCCCTTGGGGGGTTTCCTCATTTAAGGATTTTATTCTTTAATCAGATCTTCAGTTAAGAGGATTCCAGGGTCCGTACAGGATTTGAATCAGTCGAGAGACTGTAAATGAACTGTAAGCTCTCAGCGCCTCTCTTCTTCTCTTAAGTCTCGGGGGCCCTTCCCAGTCAGAACCTCTGTCCTGTCTCCCCTCGGGAGTTCACTGACACCCCAGAAAGTCTCACCGCCAAAGGCAGAAGCAAAATGCAGGACAATGTAGCACTTTAAAGACTAGCAAGATGGTTTATTAGATGATGAGCTTTCATGGGCCAGACCCACTTCCTCAGATCAAATAGTGGAAGAAAATAGTCCCAGCCATATATACCAAAGGATACAATTAAAAAAAATGAACACGTATGAAAAGGACAAATCACATTTCAGAACAGGAGGGGGATGCGGGGGGGGGGGGGGGAGGAAGGAAGGTAGGTGTCTGTGAATTGATGATATTAGAGGTGGGGAGAGTGGGACGTCTGTGAGCTAATGGTATTAGAGGTGATAATTGGGGAAGCTATCTTGGTAATGGGTAAGATAGTTTGCGAGTTTGTTCATTCCTTCCCGGAGAGTGTTGAATTTTAACATGAATGACAGTTCAGAGGATTCCCTTTCCAGTGCAGATGTAAAAGGTCTTTGTAGCACAATGCAGGTGGTTAAGTCATTGAGAGAGTGTCCTTTCTGGTTGAAATGGCAAGAAACTGGTTTTTCTTTGTGATCTTGTCTGATATCTGTTTTGTGGGCATTAATCCTTTGGCGAAGTGTCTGAGATGTTTGTCCAATGTACATAGCAGACGGACACTTTTGGCACATGATGGCATAAATTATATTTCTGGATGCGCAGGAATATGTGCGCCAAAGGCAGAGCACAGAAACGGGAGAGACATCAGCCTGGATGTGAGCGCTTAGGAGATTTTCCTTTTCTTCTCTGTGAGAATTCACTCTTCTTTTTCTTTAGTTGTTTAGTCTTTCCTTCCTGTTGTCCCCCACTCCTTAGCCCTCACCCTTTCCAGCCAGGCCTGGGAATCCAACCAAGCATGTTGCAGACCAGAGGGAGACTGTGTATTTATTTAGGTATCCCTGTACTTGGGTGTCTAGAATGCAGCCTCTGGGCACCTGTGCTAATGGACCATGAAAAGACAAGTGTGGTGTGCCTGTTAGACTACAGTTAACTAACAAAACCACAAGGGGCCTGGCTCTATAATTTACAGGAAGGTCCAATGTGTTGCCTTCTCCGCCTAACAGGGTCTTGAAGCAAGTGGAAGGAAAACCCAGTGAATACCCCCTGCATAGAGCCCCTCCCCAGCTGGTTTAGTGCTGGCCTCAAAGCTCTACACTGGATCCTTCCCAGCCCAGAGGACACATGAGGGATATGGCTGGACTGCCCTGCCTTGGTGGCTAGTCTTCACTCCCCAGGGCCCATAGGGAAGCTGATCCTATGACAGAGCAGGCTGCTTTCATTGTACGCACAGGGACCCAGGCAGGTTCCTGCCCAGCCCCAGAATACGTGGGGTAAAATTGTGACCCTGTTGAAGTTAATGGGGACAGGCTTCTCCTCTCAAGCTTTGGGTTCGAGTTCACCTCAGGCTGTGCCTGGATACGAGCACGGTCCTGTTCCAGAGCCTGTGCTTAGGAGCGTGTCACAGTAGCAGGGCTGGCCCAGCCCTGAAGGCGCTTGTTAGAAGGCTGAAGGTGTTTGGAGCCGCTCATCCCTAGCGCATGGGTTGAATCTGGTCTGGTGTCATTTGAGAGCTGTTACTGTCTGATGACTACTGCCTGGTGAGCTACAGTGGAGAGCGTTGTTAGGTGTTCCCTGTTGAAGGAGAGTTTACAGTGTAAGGCAGCCGTGGGCAGCCGAGGCTGAGTGGAGCACATGCGTGGCTCTCCTTCATCTCAGCAGGCCTCAAGATTGTCATAACCAAGACAGTCTCCCAGGATATAGCAGTTTTGCTGGCTGCGCTTGTGTAACTAGAATTCGCAGGGGATGCCGAGTGAACCGTAGCCGCGCTGTGATTGGCTGCAGAGGGAGCCAGGGTTGTGTGCAGCCAGCACTCACCTCCCGTCACGTGCCCTGGCTTTACGTGCGTGTCACTTTAGCAACACCAGTAAAACAAAACGACATGGACAGAAACCAGTGGAATCTGCATGGGCAACGGTGAACAAAATGTCTCGCGGGCCACACGTAGAACCCTGATATGTGGCCCGTGGGCTGTAGGTTGTCCGCCACTGGTGTAAAAGAGGTGTGACCAGGCTAGTTAGGCATGCTGCTACCACAGCAGGGGGCAGGGTGTCACCTATTGCCCGCTTTATCCAATGTGCTCCATGTACAGCTCTATGGGAATAAACCTGGGAAACTTAGATCCACCTTATCATTGGGGTTCAGGCCACGTTCCCCCAGCTACTGTCAAACCCTTCAGACGTGGCCCGATTCTGTTCTGCAGTGGCTGAGGCTGAAAGGTGGAATGTGAGCCGTCGCTGACGCTTTAACAGGAGCATTTCATTTGCCTGCAGGAGTTATTCCCTATGCAATTCTGCTTCGTTATTAGACAGGTGCCGTAATCCATGCTAATTACCCTGCTCAGCCGCAAGCGGCTTGCCAGCACATGTGACACTGCCGCGCGCAAGAGGAAGATCGATGTTGTAGACATCGTCTCTTTGCCGCTGTGCGGGAGAAGGGAGGCAGAGATGATCCTTCCATGGGCTTAGGCCCCAATCCTGCAATCCAAGCCATCCGGTCAGACCCCTGCAGCCAGGCCGAGTCCCTCTGACGTCAGTCGGGCTGTGCGTGGGCATACGGGTTCGTCCGCAAGGATTTGTAGGTACGAGCGGTGGTTTGGGTCTGATCCAAGGTCTCCTGAGTTTAATAGAAAAGCTCCTCGTGTTTTCAGGCCTCTTATTTATAAGCGCGCCAGGAACACAGACTAGATCTTGGGCCTAATTTTCACCAAGCATGCTCCGATACAGGCAGTTGGAGTTGCAGATGTCTGACCCCTCTGTAAATGAGAGCCTGGCATCTGGCTGCAGTCCCAAGCAGGTGGCCCTACGTGCAATCCAAGCCTTTCCACACACTCTCATTGCTTTCCCCTCTCTTCCAGGGCCCTGCCGTCCTGCCACAGCACAGGATACAATGAACAAGATGAAAAACTTCAAGCGGCGGTTTTCCCTCTCCGTGCCCCGGACAGAGACCATTGAGGAGTCGCTGGCTGAGTTCACGGAGCAGTTCAACCAGCTCAACAACAGGAAGAATGAAGGTGAGAGGCTGGGGAGTTCATTGGGGCAGCAGGGGAAACCAGTTCTGGTTTGGCCAGAATCCGCCCCATCCCCCCCACCCTCCAGGCGCAGACAGTTGGTGCAGGGTCAGGATGTCTCTTCAGACCCAGAAAAGCAGAGAGAGTCGCTGGTCACTCTGTGCCTCAGTTTCCCCCTTTGTGAAACAGGAATAATTAGTGTTCCCTGTAAGCTGGGAGCTTGTGCAGCCGCTCAGGAGGGATTCAGATGCTGCCCAGCTTATTAGCAGAGCTCTCACAGCTAGGTTTTATTTGGTGCACATTCACATGCTACAGTGCACATGAAAATATTATTCCACACGTGGATGGGACAAAATCCACGTGTGCATGGAAAAGATTAGAGTGAACAATGGGAATAATATCTCCTCAACATTCATTCTTCTTTGGGGAGCACTGTGGAAACGGTCAGGGAGAAGCAGCTTTGCTGCTTAATGTTAGACAAGAACAGGTCACCCAGAGGTGGATGGGGTTGAAGGGTCCTTTATTGCAGATACTCGTTCCGCCTCAACCCTCCAAAGCCCTTGTCTGCGGGAGGAACAAATTAACCACAGGTACACCTTTTTCTTTTAGTATGTGAATACACTTATCAATTACATCATTTCAAAAGCCCTAATCAAGTAATGGGAACACCCTTATAATGCATAATCATCTCTATGGGATGAATACAGTTATACCCACCCCAGTTTACTGTTTACAGCTTTTTAGCTGATGCGAGCAGTTCTCACATCACAAAATGCCTTAAATCAGCTGCTTACAAGAGGGTAGGGAGCTGTGACCCTGAATGTGTATTTCAGAGCGAATGGAAACAGGTAAGGGGGTAGGAAGACACTAGCTGTTTAACACACAGAGCATTCATTAAAAGTTACATCCTTGGTACAGCTATGTGCTTATCTATTCCCAGCAAGGTGGAAATGAGGAAAACATGTCTGTAAACCTATAGGGTCAGTGCCTGCCCATGCTGCACCCTCATCACTGTGTTAACGAGCACTCAGAGCCCTTATTTAACTCTTACCCCTACACTTAAGGCCTGACACCTTCCTCTTCTCACCCAGAAAGAGCAGTAATTGGCTGGCAGTTTTCTCCCCCTGCCCAGCAGCTGGCTCAGGCTCTCGGCAAACTCAGCCATGCATCTTTCACTCAGGTCGCATTTACGCTTCTCTCTGCAACCACGACAGCTAGACATGTAGGCTGCATCTACACTGGCATGATTTTGTGCAAATACTTTTAACGGAAAAGTTTTTCCATTAAAAGTATTTGCGCAAGAGAGCATCTACACTGGCACGGATGCTTTTACGCAAAAGCACATCTTTTGTGCAAAAACACATGCCAATGTAGACACTCTCTTGTGCAAGAAAGCTCCGATGGCCATTTTAGCCTGTCTACGCTGGCCTCTTGCACAAGAATACTTGCACAAGAGGGCTTATCCCTGAGCGGGAGCGTCAAGTATTTGCACAAGAAGCACTGATTTCGTACATTAGAACGTCAGTGTTCTGGCGCAAATACTCGCGGCCATTGTAGACAGGTGGCAAGATTTTGCGCAAAAGAATCTTGCCAATGTAGACACGTACTTTTTAAATTAAAAAAAAACCCAGGCTGAGAAACCTTAATGCAATCACCCGGCTCCGCTCTCTGCTGCCTAATCGACGTTAAGAAGAGACCCAGCAGCCTGCTTTGGAGATGGCTGCCTTTCCTCCTCCTACCCCTCGGCAGTCTGCCACTGCTAACAGATCACATCCCTCCACTCATGACAGGCTGCAGGCACCTGCGCCCCTTCTCCGTAAGCACCCGGGCCTCGATGCTCAGAAGCAGTCGCGGTGCCTGTCTGCTCCCCCCCACACACACACCCTGTCAAGCTGATGGGGCTATAATTAGAAACGAGCCCTTAATTACAGGCATGGAAGCTGCCGGGATGAAACGGCACGAGGCTAACGAAGGACTGGGTGCTGACAGCTGCAGCTGTCTGCTCCTTCCTCAGGGGGACGTCAGCCCTGGGCTTTCTGGTCCTTGGCTCGTTATCGGTGTGCACCAAACCCAGGCACTGTCATGTAACAAGGCAGCTTCCCCGTTCTCCCATTTTAATGAGTCCTCAACGGTCTCTGGGTCCCCTCCCCTTCATTTTTCAAACCAAGGTCTGCTGCAACTCCCTTGTTCTGCCGACCCCGTCTCACCTCTCCCCAGGAGACCGGAGTGGAATAGAAACCGGAGCAGAAGCTGAGTAGGTCACCCTCTCCCTTTCTCGGGTCCTGAGTCTGTCACCTTGCTGAGGATCCGGGAATCAGGCTCAGGGACGTGGCTGTGCTAGAGGTGTAAAAATTTTAAGGAAAATACTAACCGTGTAAGCGATTGAAATTCAGTCAGTTTCGTGGTTAAACGTTCCACGGGCTGGGGGCTGCTAGTGCCGCTGGCCCCACAGGCTCCATGGGGAGGCCTGGAGTTTAACTGGTAAGGTTAACCGATAAGTGTATCGATTAACTTGGGTGGGCAACTCACAGGCTGGCACCAAAGCCCGCGCCCCCAGAATGGGCGGGGCCTGGGGCAGAAGGGGTGGGGCTGGGGCAGAAGAGGCGGGGCTGGGGATTAGCCTCCCCTCAGAGTTGTCTGGGGCCGGAGGCTTTGAAGTAAAAACACAGCAAAGGGCTTGTGGCTCCTGTCCCTACCAATACCGAGATGCCTGGCAGCCTCCCGGGGTTTGCTGCAGCTGTTTACAAGGCTCACAGCTCCGGCCTCCTGGGGTAGCATCACAGCCAGGAGCCATGAACCACTGAAATAGGATTCTGCTGCCTGAGCCACTGCCTGGAAATTCGGTGGCACAGGCAGCAGGCTATAAAGAGAAAGTGGCCAGACGCTGTCCGCGGGCCAGATCGAAGTATTAGGCTGGACGGATCCCCGGTCTGTGCACCCTGTGTAGCAGGAGGACCTAGTACCAGGCCCAGGGATCTGTTTCAGGAGTCCCTTGTACCAGGGTGTGTCTCTGTCCTTCCCCCGTTGGAAGCAGCAGAACTCCAGGCTACAGTTTGCTTCCCAGATTACACGGTACATTCCTTGCCCTGCAGCCTGTGCTCTTCCCATGCGCTACGAGCCCGGCGTGGTGCCCATTTCTCCTGTCCCCGCTTCTGGCAGGATCCATCCCCTTCCTTCCCTCACTCCCATGTAGCCCATCCCTGCCCACCCCGCATCCCTTGATTAAGTTTCTCACAGATTGTAAACAAGCCTGCGAAGTCACCTCTGCGCTGCCCTTAATCTCCTTCCCCTGAAAGCTGCGGCTGTTATTTATTCAGAGCCCTGACAGCCGCATTTGTCAGACGCGGTCTCTTCCGCCCGGTGCGGATGGCATTTTGTAAACCCCCTTGCCGCTGGGAGGTCCCTGCCCACAGCCTCGCACCGTCTGGCATTGGCAGGAGCAGGCTGGGCAGAGGAATGTTGTGTACAGATGCACCGATGCGGACTTGATCCGCAGTCCACTGACGGCCTTGTTCCACAGATTTCAGCAGGCTCCGGTTGAGGGGGAAGGAGCCTGGTTCTTGCAGGGGTTACACCAGGGAAGGGATTGGTGTGCCTTTTTCTGGAAGGGAATTAAGCTGGGTTTGCTCGTCTAAGCGTAGGCTGGGAAGTGTGTGGGCGCTAATAGAGCCAGCTGCGTGCAGCTGCACTGTTGGCACGTGTCTCAGGCTGGCCCCGTTTTACAAACCTGGATGCTCTACGCCAGGGCTTTCCAAGCTATGAATCATGACCCAGTACTGAGTTGCAGAATGTCGGGCACTGGGTCTCGTTGCTGCAGGAGGATCTAGTGAGCAGCGAGGGTGCTAAGGCAGCTGCAGATCGCAGACTGCACCCCAGAAGCGGCCGGCACCAGGCCTGACTCCTAGGTGGCAGGGGAAAGAGCACACAGGGCTCCATGCACTGCCCCTGCCCTGAGCACTAGCTCCGCACTCCCATTGGCTGGGAACCTGCTGCCGGCTGCTTCTGGGGGCAGCATGGTCTGTGGTGCCTGGGGAGGCAGGATGCTGCCTTAGCCCCCCCGCTGCACCCCTGACCGGGAGTCGCTCAAGGTAAGCCCCTCCTATGTTAGCATGACCCTCCACCCCAAAACCGTTACCCCGTCCTACCGCCCAAAGCTCCCACTCTCAGCCCCACCCCGGAGCCCACGCTCCAGTCAAATGATGTTGGGTCGGGGGCATCAACGATTTTCTTCGACTGGGTCATGAGAAAAAAAAGTTTGAAACCCCCCTGCTCTACCCCAGCTCTACAGATGGAGACGTGGTGTGGCACAGAACAGAGCAGAGACTTGCTTACAGTCATGCAGTGAGTCAGTGGCAAAGCTGGGACCAGAACCCTAAAGCTGAGTCTTGTGCTTCAGCCCTTCTTCCAAGCTCTCCCTGTGCAGCCCTGGCACACACATTACAGGCCGTGTCCTTCCGCTACTGTTGCACATGGCACAGTTTACATAGTCCTGCTGCCCGTGTTTCTGAACAAGCCTCCGGCGCAATCGCTGTTCATTCTGCGTGGCGGGGCCAAAAACAAGGCGTCTTAGCACCTCCTCAGGTGAACGCGTGCCCAAGAATAACACAGGCAGGGAATCCGATGTCATTGCTAATCATGGCAGGGATCCGAAAGTCATTTTCCTTCCATGCAGAAGGAAACTGCATGGGGAAACTATTTAAGTGTTGTCCCCCGCCTGCCGAGGCCAGGTTATAGGAACGGAGAAGCTCAGAGGCAGAGACAGAATGATGGCAGGAGGAAGCGGGGGCAATAACTTGCAGAGGTGAGGGAACAATTTTTGGGGTGGGGGTGTTGAGCTGTACAACCCCCCCTACTGTCCATACGTCTCATTGCCCCTTAGACCTGGGGCCAGCAGTGGGGCAGGACCCTGCATGTGGGGCTTGGCGGCGGGGCTGCCTGGAACGGTTCTCAGGCTTAGATGTCCTTGGCCCCACCCCTTCTGCCCAAGGCCTCTGCTCTTTCTT